AAAGACAATGTCAAGAGAACATGAAGACAAGCCACAGGAGAAAAGAGAGGTTGACTATCTCTAATCCAAAATGCTCCAAAATATGAACCTTTTTGAATACTGTCATGATGCTCAAAGGAACGTTCATTGGGGCATTTTAGAGTTTGGATTTTTTGGATTAGAGATGCTCAACTTGTATATGCAAATAGTCTAAAATCTGGAAAAAAAAAAAAAAAAACCCAATCCAAACACTTCTGATACCAAGCATTTCAGATAAGGGATACTCAATCTGTATTTGTAAAAGACATATTTGATAAACGACTGTTAACCAAAATATACAAAGAATTCTTAAACTTGACAATAAGAAAATAAATTACCCAATTTAAAAATGGGGGAAAGATCTCAACAGACAACTCACTAAGGTGTACAGGTGGCAAAGCAGCATATAGTCAGAAGCACCGAAAAGAGGTTCACCATCACATGTCATTAGGAGACTACAAAGAAAAACACCAAGATACTACTGCACACCAATTAAAATAACCAAAATCCAAAACACCGACAACACCAAATGCTGGAGAGGAGAGTAACAGGAACTCTGATTCATCCACTGCAAAATGGTACAGACACGTTGGGAGATTGGTGGTTTCTTATAAAACTAAACATACTCTTAGTATACAATCCAGCAACTGTATTCCTCTGTATTCACCCAAATGAACTGAAAACTTACGTCCATGCTAACACTTGCTCATGGATGTTTATATCATCTTTATCCATAAATGCTATGACTTGGAAGCAATCACGGTGTCTTTCAGTACATTTGAAACTGGATAAACTATGGCGCATCCATACAATGGAGTATTCTGCGCTAAAAAGTAATGAGCTACTGAGACACAACACAATTACAGAGGAACCTTAAGTGTATATGACTAAGTGAAACCATCCAATCTGAAAAGAGCGCATACGGTATGAGTCCAGCTAGATGCCATTCTGGAAAAGGCAACACTCTGGAGATAGTAAAATAATCAGTGGTTGCCAGGGTTTGGAAGAAAGAGAGGGATAAATAAGCAGAGCACAAGGGATTCTTGGGGCAGCAAATTATTCTGCAATAATGGTGGTTACATGGCATTATACATTTGTCAAAACCCAAGGAAATTAAAGCACCAAGAGTGAATTTTAATGTAAAATACGCACTTTGATTATAATGATGTGTCAATATTGGTTCACTGATTAAAACAAATGTACCTCTCTGGTGGTTGGGGAGGCTGTGTGTGCATGGGGGAGGGCGTATACAGGAACTCTGTACTTTTCACTCAACTTTGCTATGTGTATGAGTCCTTTTCCATGCTGCTGAGAAAGACATACCTGGGACAGGGCAATATATAATAAAAGAAAGACGTATAACGGAACTCACAGTTCCACATGGCAGGGGAGGCCTCACAATCATGGCAGAAGGCAAGGAGAAACAAGTCACATCTTACATGGATGGTGGCAGGCAAAAACAGTAAGAGCTTGTGCAGAGAAACTGCTGTTTTTTAAAAACCATCAGATCTCATGAGACCCATTCACTATCATGAGAATAGCATGGAAAAGACCAGTCCCCAAGATTCAGGCATCTCTCACAACATGCGGAATTACTGGAGCTACCAGATGAGATTTGGGTGAAGGTACAGAGCCAATTCGTATCACTATGAATCCAAAGCTGCTCTAAAAAAGGTCTATTTTTTTTTTTAAAAGACACACTATGTATTGTACTAGAAAAACAAACTCAATGCCGAAAAATATTTTAAGAAAATGATTGGACTTGAAGTAAAAAGAAAGATATACTTTGAGCATCCTAGCAAAAAGACCAAATCACTTTTAAGGTAAGGAAATTAAAACTGCCATCAGACTTTCTGCAGCAATGCTTTATGCCAGAATATAATTAAATTATGTTAAAGACAAGGAAGAAAAAGTAAGCCAAGGATTTTATATGTAGCCAAAATGACCTTCACAAATAAAGTCAAAAGACAAAATTTATGAAAATGGAAAACCTCTGAGTTCACACAAGCCTTTCCTAGGACTCTATCACAAAAAAAGTTTCAGGCAATCAGAATGAGTAGACACTGACATAGGATTGGAAGACTAAAATAAAGAACACCAAGGACCTTTTATGTCTCATTTAATACAAAATAAGCCTTGATAGTAGTGTTTCCATTCTACAAGGAGGAACTGAATGGCAAAGTCAGAGGAACTTACCCATGGTTGCTGAGCAAGTAATGGAGCTAGGATTGGAACCCAAGCCCATTCTCTTTCCACAACATGAAGCCACCTTCACATACACATGAGTTAAACCTTTGTCTTTGCATATACTGGAATAACATATTGCCTAGAATCTCATTCTCTCCCTTATCTAAATAATGAGTTATTTGAAAAAAAAAAAATCTTTGATATACCTCAAAAATGGCTGTTTCTCTGTGGCTTTCCCTTACCCCAAAGGGCTATATGTATAATCATTAATAAAAAAGCCACCTCATCTGTGGCCCCAAATTCGCTTATTCTCTTGTGGCTTTCCCTTACCTAAAAGAGTCATATGCATTATCATTAATAAAGCCATATAGTACTGATAAAGTAAATCCACCTCATCTGTGGCCCCAGAGCATTTCAGTACAACATCTGTAGCACAGATTTTGCCACATATGATTTCCATGATGGACAAATCTGTCATTTCTTTGGCTTAAAATCCCAATACAGAGCATATTCTTCTCAGTAAATGTATTTTGGAGAAAAAGAAGAGGGCAGATAACAAGTCTGGGATATCTTTTTTGACTATACAAGACAAAGTTAATTACTTAAATATCTCTGCATTAATTCTGAACTTTGTAGGTACTTTTTATTCTTGTCCTTTTCATGCAATGCTATTATTTATTTTCATTTTTGTCTGTCCTCTGAGAGCAAGAATGATTTTTTTTTTCTTTTGAGACTAAGTCTCACTCTGTTGCCAGGATGGCAGGCAGTGGTGTGATCTTGGCTCACTGCAACCTCTGCCTCCTGGATTCAAATGATTCTCCTGCCCCAGCCTCCCGAGTAGCTGGAACTATAAGGCTTGCGCCACCATGCCCAGTGAATTTTTGTATTTTCAGTAGAGATGGGGTTTCACCATGTTGGCCAGGATGATCTTGATCTCTTGACCTTGTGATCCACCTGCCTCAACCTCTCAGAGTTCTGGGATTACAGGTGTGAGCCACCAAGCCTAGCAAGAATATTTTTTCCTTTGTAGCTTATCATCTAACATATTATAGTGAACACAACTAAGAAGTGTTCATTAAATAGTTGGTGAATGAATAAAGACAAATCATAAAATAACTTCTCAGTTCCAATTCTGTGCAGATGGATTATGATGAATATGAAGAGTGAAAGTACCACATTTATGGCTTAACTATGACTGTACACCAAACTGCATATATTTAAGCAATAAAACTTTACATTAAAAAATCAGAATCTGATATTTTAAAAGTAATAGTGTTAATGGACAAAGGCGTATTATACAACTTTTAGAGTACAAAAAATCTGAAATATTTTTCTCATTTTTTCCAGAGTTTTGCACTTCATGGTAAATTATCTTTATTATTTTTAAAAATGTTAGAGTCTGAACTCATTTGTTTTAGAGTCTGAAGGCATTTTTATCTTGATTAAAGCCTGGAACATTTTGAAAACAGGCTCAGAGCAAGTTACTAGTAATTTTTTTTTTTTTTGAGACAGAGTCTCAGTGGCAAAATCTCAGCTCACTGGAACTTCTACCTCCTGGGATCAAGCGATTCTCTTGCCTCAGTCTCCTGAGTAGTTGGGACTACAGACACGTGCCACCACACCTGGCGAATTTTTTATTTTTAGTAGAGATGGGATTTCACCATGTTGGCCAGACTGGTATTGAACTCCTGACCTCAGGTGACCGCCTGCCTTGACCTCCCAACGTGCTAGGATTAGAGGAGTTAGCCACTGCACCCAGCCATTACTAGTATTTTTAATTAGTATTTGGCATTCAACTGCACAATTTCCTTATAGGAGAGTATGAACAAATTAATTACAAACACATTTTTTGTCATTTTTGCAAACAGATGATTATATGTATTTCTCAATTCAAATTGTTTTCTACATTTAATATTAAAGAAAATAACAGAATTATTAGCAGCCTACTTTTGCTACCTCAGTAACATGTGCTTAGGTTCATTTCACTGGCTTAATTCTCAGCACCTGGCTAATTCCATTATTGAACATATCAGTAGTGTCATTGCCTAGGTTATTTTTCCACCAGCTCTGGATATGAGTTTCACTAGAGGCTTTTTAAGGGGAGACAGAGAAAAAAAGTGAGAGAGATAAAGAAGGAAAGAGCACAAAAGTGGCACACATTCCTGCCTAGACAAAACTTCTAAAAAGAGGAAAAGTACATTCCACTTCCTCATCATTTAAACAAGCTGTTTAATCTGAAAATTCCTGTTTTTTACATAGACCCTCTGTTTGATGCATAGCTGTATTACCAAAACCCACAAAACTCATGGATCAGCAATATTTCCTCCTGCCCCATGACAACTCTCCTTCCCCAGTCCTATAATTCATAATGTCTGTGACACCTACTGCAATACCTTTCAGTCAATCTAGTTCTTGAATCCATATCAAAACACACACAATTCATCTCAATGCATTTCTCCTATATCTGTTTTCACGTAAAACATCATTCTGACCTTTTTTTTTTTTAATTTTTCTTTTTCTTTTCTTCTTTGGCATTAGTAGCAGAGCTACATTCTGACTTTTCTAACTTCACCCAATACACTTCCTTTTCTTTTTAGATCCCATCCACGTATGTCAGTTCAAAACTCAAGACTATCATTTTGACAATCCCCCTAGAAAATACCATCATTCTCAAACTAATTAAAACATTATTATAACAAAAAGACAAAAATAACACAAAATGAAAACATCTTAAAACACATGATTAGATTTTTAATATTACTTCTAGTATAGAAAAACTACTAGTTTCTCCTTACCACTTCTAATAGTTGTGGTTTCCAAAAGTTCTGTCTGAAGTTGTAGTTCAGCTTCTCCAAGTATCTTTAGAACAGAATCTGTCGGACTTCTCCCCCAGGCTCTTCTTGGAGATCCACTAGGATCTAATTTAATAACTTCTCCCAGGGTGTTTCCTATAAGAAAAAGATACAAAGAAACAATTTTCAGTAACAGTATAATAATACTGCATGGTAAGGCAGACTTTGGGTCCTTTATGCGATTGAGTGCTTCATGAGAAAAAAAGGTTATACTGCAAAGACTTTCGGGGAAAGAATGATGAATAATGGCAAGAACAGAAGCAAATGAAACTAGCAATAAAAATATATCTATAATTGCCTTTTAGAGTATGAATTAAATTCTAGTTTTGGGGAATATAAAAATAGGAAAAAACCATAACTTAATACAGGTTGAATATCCCTTATCTGAAATGCTTGGGACCAGAAGTGTTTTGAATTTCAAATTTTTTTCGGACTTTGAAATATGTGCATATACATAATGAGATATCTTGTTGGGACTGAAGTCTAAACATGAAATTCATTTATGTTTGTTTTTTAAGAGATACAGTCTCACTATGTTGCCCAGGCTTGTCTTGGACTCCTGCGCTCAAGTGATCATCCCACCTTGGCTTCCCAAAGTGCTGGGATTATAGGTGTGAATCACCAATCCTAGCCTCATTTGTTTTACATCCATCTTATACACATAGACTGGAGGGAATTTTATATAATATACACAGAACCATCAGAAAGCAGTAGTGTCACTGTCCTAGCCACCCATGTGCGCCCTCAGTGGTTGTTTGGCATCACCATCATTCCTGACTGAGTTTACACGCTAATAAGCAATCATTTTCTTACACTTGTTCACACAAAAATATCTCATAGTTAAAAAAAAAAGACATACCATTACAGTGAAAAAACGTGCTGAAGATAACTAAGCAGCACAGTATTATCACCAGAATACCTTGGAACTGCTAAACAACAGCAGGCTTTTAGTCTCAACCCACAAACCTGGACTTCGATGAAAAAGTTACTCTACACTGCCTTTCATTTTATCGGCAAAAAGAAGTACTGGAAGCAGTTGAGGGATCAGAATGGGATCAGAAGGGATGAGAAGGTATTCTATCAGATAGCTTTTTTAAATGGCTGGGAGGGTCTTTTTGCCCTTGGGGATGCTGAATAAAGCATGCGTTGTGCACCTGCACTTTGATTTTGATACATCGCATGGGGTCAGATGTGGATTTTCTGTTTACAGTGTCACACTAGTACTCGAAAGTTTCAGATTTTAGAACATTTTGGATTTCAGACTTTGGATTAGGAATGCTCAACCTGTATTATGTTTCTATAAAATCTTTATTTGAAAAGACTAAGATAAGTCAATAACAATTGGGGAGAATATAAGAATAGAAGAAACAGAAATGAATATTTCATTTCTATACATTTCAAAGAAAAAAACAGAAAACAAATCTTAAACACACATATGGATTAAAAAGCAGAGAAAAGTATTTCTAAGAAAATTTGTCCTACTTTATTTATCATAGGTAGGCAAATACTTCCCTTTTTGACAATAACAACTTGGGGTAAACGATTTTAATAAAATGTATCAAAGCAAAATATAAAAAGTTGTACACTAAGGTTTGAGTCTTTAGAACATTTGGTAACAATATGTGAAGTATATAGGTACCTAGATATACACAGGATATAATATTACATATTATGAGGCATAAGGTATATAGACATTCAATGGTAACCTAATACATATTGATACAGTTAATGTACCACTTTCATGAAAGAACATGCAAATTAGCAGATAATAATCAGTTTCATACAGTCAAAATGATTACCAATAGGACTTTCAAAGGATGGTTAAAACAGAGTAGAGAACCCAGAAATAGACCCATAACTCACAATCAATTGATGTTTGACAAATGTTCCAAAGCAATTCAAAGGGGGAAAACTCTCTAACAAACACAACTGGGATAACTAAATGTCTATAAGAAAACAAAACAAAACAAAACAAAACACGCCAGAATTTAACCCCTTCAATGCAGGGAGGGAAAACCCAGGTGGAGTCAACAGTCTTTCTCAGCTGAGGAGGCAGAACTGGGAGTCTAGGGAGGCCAAAGTGGCTAGTGTTTGCAAGGTAAGAGTACTGAAAAGTAATAAGCTACACCGACAGAGAACTCAGGAAAATTGTAAAAAGCCCCTTTGAGTCTTTACCTGAGTACTGAACAGCATATCAGTACATAATGTATAAAGAAATTACTGTAGTTTAGAGAAAAGGCCACTCAAAAGAAGTAGAGGTAACAATTGTTCAAGTTCACACAGCGCCAGAAAGAGTACCTATTCCTATCAGCCAAAAAAGATTGATTCATAATTCACAAGGCACAAGGCAGATTTAGAAATGTTGTTGGTGCAGAAAAGGTAAAAGATTAGCCATATGCTAATGCATAGTAATACTAATACACATTAATAATATAGATCGCTGCTCTGTTCCAACTAACAAAGCTTAAAAGTGAGACTTAGAAGAGCCAAGCTATGCACAGCTAACTAAATTGTGTCCAAGAATATTTATAGAAACACAAAAATACATAGCAGAAATATTAAAATTCACAATGTTCAGCACCCAAACAAAAATTATCAAGCACGCACAGACCAGAATATTAACTAAAAAAAGGAGGAAAAAAATGAGTGAATCCAATCCAACCCCATAATCACAGAGATGATGTAACTAGACAAGGACATTTATAAGTGTCATTATAATTGAATTCCGTATGTTCAAGAAGCTAGAGAGAAGAGTAAGCATGATAGAGGTAAAGGAAACATTAATAAGATCCGTATTGAACTCGTCTAAATGAAGTTCACATAAATGAACCTGCCCATTGAACTTGTCCATTCATACTGAAGACAGAAAAAAACTAGACTAATGGCCACAAGTTTTTCAAGTGTGATGAAAACTATTAACTCATAAATCCAAGATGCTCAACAAAACCCATGCAAAGGAAACATGATGAAAGTGACATTGAGGCACATCATAATCAAATTCACTGAACCCAAAGCTGTAGGGAAAAATCTGAAAAGGAGCTAGAGAAAAAAGACACAGAGGAATACAACTAAAAATAAGGGTAAAAGAAGACTTCTCATTGTAAATAATGTGCATAAGATGACAGTGAAGCAGCATCATTAAAGTACTAAAATAAAAAATTTGCAATTCAGAATTCCATGTCTCAGAAAAAATATCGTTGCAAAAGGAAGGCAAAATAAAAACTTTTACAAACATTTGTATGTCTTTAAAATAAAAACGTTTACAGACATACAAATGTTGAATGAATCACCAGCAGGACTATACTACACAAAATCTAAAAAGAAGTCCTTCTGGCAGAAGAAAAATGATACAAAATAGAAATCTTCTACACAAAATAAAAAGTACATGAGTAGACACAAAAGATTTTTTTTCTCTTATTATTGAAATCTTTTTAAAGAATAAATGACTATGCTGTATTATGGGATTTATAGCATTAAAAAAAAAAACAAAACAAAACAATGTTACCAAAGGCTGGGAGGGAACAAATGCAAATACAGGTGACCCTCAAATAAAGGTATGAAATGCCTGGGTGCATTTATCCACAAATTTTCTTCCACCTATGCCATCCTTCAGACACCAACTTCTCCTCCACTTCAGCCTACTCAATGGGAAGATGATGTGGATAAAGACTTTTATGATGATCCACTTCCACTTAACAGTAAATACATTTTCTCCTAATTTTTTTAGTAACATTTTCTTTTCTCTTGCTTCCTTTATTGTAAGAATATAGTATATAACATGTAAAATATGTGTTAAATGACTATGTTATTGATACGGCTTCTGGTCAACAGTAGGCTATTACTAGTTAAATTTTGGGGGAGTTAAGAATTACACATGGATTTTTGACTACCCCCCAGCCCCCACACTATTCAAGGGTCAACTGTATATTATTGCAATATTCTTATACCATGTATGAAGTATAATAACTCAATCGAAGATACACTGTGATAAGTTCAAGATAATATACTATAAACTCTTAAGCCAACACTGAAATAACAGAACAATGAGCTATAGCTAATAATTCAACAACAGAAGTAAAATGGAATAATAAAAAACAACTAACCCCAAAGAATGTAAAACAGGAGAAAAAAGGAAGGAAAGTATAGATGAGATGAACAAAAAACAAATAGAAAAATGGTGCACAGACAGTCCCTGATTTATAATGGCTCAACTTAAGAGTTTTCAACTATATAATGGGTTTATTAGACTGTAATCCCATTGTAAATTGAGGAGTATCTGAATTTAAACCCAATCATGTTAATAATCACATTAAATGTAAATAGTCTAAATATACCAGTTAAAGGTTATAAGAGTACATTAAAAAGCAAACGTAAAGACAGAAATAGATTAAGAGGTAATCTACAAATGGGTTTTTTTTGTGTGGGCATCCTCTTCATTGATGTTGATTCTATTGCCTTCTGTTAGTTTTCCTTCCAACAATCAGGCCCCTCTTCTGCAGGTCTGCTGGAGTTTGCTGGAGGTCCACCCCAGACCCTGTTTGCCTGGATATCTCTGGCAGAGGCTGCAGAACAGCAAGGATTGCTTCCTGTTTCTTCCTCTGCAAGCTTTGTCCCAGAGGGGCACCTGCCAAATGCCAGTGGAGCTCTCCTGTATGAGATGTCTGTTGACCTCTGCTGGGAGGTATCTCCCAGTCAGGAGGCACGGGGATCAGGGACCCACGTGAGGAGGCAGTCTATCCCTTAGTAGAGCTCAAGCTCTGTGCTGGGAGATCCACTGCTCTCTTCAGAACCAGCGGTTAGGAGTGTTTAAGTCTGCTGAAGTGGAGCCCACAGCAACCCCCTTCTCCCAGGTGCTCTGTTCAAGGGAGCTGTCTCTCTAGATTCTGGCTACAGTGGCTTTGCTGCCCCACAGTGGGTTTCATACCCACTTTGAACTTCCCAGCAGCTTTCTTTACACTGTGAGGGGAAAACCACCTACTCAAACCTCAGTAATGGTGGGCACCCCTTCCCTCACCAAACTTGAGCATCCTAGGTTGACGTCAGACTGCTGTGCTGCCAGCGAGAATTTAAGCCAGTGGATCTTAGCTTGCTGGTCTCTGTGGGGTGGGATCTGCTGAGCTACACCACTTGGGTCCCTAGCTCCAGCCCCTTTTCCAGGGGAGTTAAATGGTTCTGTCTGGCATTCCAGGTGCCACTGGGGTATGAAAAAAAACTCCTGCAGCTAGCTCAGTGTCTGCCCAAATGGCCGCCTGGTTTGTGCTTGAAACTCGGGGTCCTGATGCTGTAAGCACCTGAGGGAATCTCCTGGCCTGTGAGTTGTGAAACCATGGGAAAAGTGTATTATCTGGGCTGGATAGTACTGTCCCTCACAGCACAGTCCCTTACGACTTTCCTTGGCTAGAGGAGGGAGTTCCCCGACTGCTTGCACTTCCTGGGTGAGGCGACATTCCATCCTGCTTCTGCTCGCTCTGCATGGGCTGCACCATCTAACCAGTTCCAATGAGATGAAATGGGTATCTCAGTTGCAAGTGCAGAAATCATCCACCTTCTGCATTGGTCTCACTGGTAGCTGCAGATCGCAGCTGTTCCTATTCAGCCATCTTGCCACTTTCCCCAAGTTATTTGTCTTTCTGCCTTTGCCTCCATCCATCCTTTTACAACAGCAATGATCTATTGCCTCAGAGATGCTTTCAATCATCTTCAGCTCCACCATCTCAGAGATCTCACACCAGTGTTTTTCCTCATATTTATGTTTTCATCCTCACATTTATTTATTTAATAACTACTTTTCATGTATAAAATATGTGCTACATGACGGGGCATAAACATGCTGTACAAATAAGACAAGCTTGATCAAAACGTTTATATTCTACAACAGAACCCGGGCAAATGATACTTAAACAAAAGCAGCAGATAATTACAGTATGTGATTACTTCTTTAAAAATAATAAAAAGAACTCAGAAACAAAAAAACCAAACACTGGCCAGGCACAGTGGTTCACGCCTGTAATCCCAGTACTTTGGGAGATGGAGGCGGGAACATTGCCTGAGGCCAGGAGTTCAAAAGCAGCCTGGGAAACATAGTAAGTCCACCATCTTTAACAAAAAAGAAAAAAAATTAGCTGGGCATGGCAGCACGTGCCTGTAGTTCCAGCTACTCCAGAGGCTGAGGCAGGAGAATCACTTGAGTCCAGAAGGTTCATGATATAGTCAGCCACGAGTGTGCCACTGTATTCTAGCGTGTCTTAAAAAAATATACTGCATATTCTTACTTCCAAGTGGGAGCTAAACAATGGATACACATGGATATAGAGGGAAATACTAAACATGGGGCAGAGGTTGGGCGGGGTGAGGGTTGAAAAATTACCTATTGGTTATAATGTTCAGTATTCGAGTGATAGGTACACTAGAAACCCAAACCTCACCATAATGCAATACATGTAGGCAACAAACCTACACATGTACACACTGAATCTATAGAAATAAAATAGATTTAAATAAATATTTAAAGTACAGAAATAATTTTCAATGATTTGAAAATAAGAGAAGGTTCAGGTGGAGTGGCTCACACCTGTAACCCAGCACTCTGGGAGGTCAAAGCAGGTGGATCACTTGAGGCCAGGAGTTTGAGCAGCCTGGGCAACATGGCAGAAGAGTATCTCTACAAAATATTAAAAAATAAAAATAAATTTAAAAAAAAGAAAGAGAGAGGGAGAGAGAAAGAAAAGAGGTCTACTATTAATAGAGGGCAGAAAAGTGAAGAAAGTGCTTAAAGAGCTTCAAGAAGAGTATGTGCATGCACACGTACGTGTGGGTGCGGACAACAATCTGGATGTCAAAGCCGTAAATACATAATGTACGGCCTTTAAAACTTACGACATAGAGGTCTTCGGTGACCATGTAAAGAATTATAACAGAGTGGTAGAGGAAAAAGTCTGGCTGGAGTAGGTTAAGGGAGAACAGAAGGAGAGGAACTGGAATTGTAAACAGAATCCTTTCAAAGAATTCTGATATAAAGATGACTTTCAGAAATGGGGTGATAGCTAAAGGACAGGGACAGAACAAAAAGAGAAGCAGCCATATTAAGGACTTGAGAAAGAGGAAAGGGGAAGAGTACTATGGGAAAGAAAGAGCTTGGCATGTTTTAAGAAGTGAAAGGTGAGAAGTAAGTAGTTCCTAGTGAGCTAGTTAGAAGGAAATGGATACAATGAACAGGTAAAGCATAAACCAAGGGAGAGGAGAGACTTGAAATCATGAAAAGAACTGAGGACTTTTATTCTAGTTGCAATGAAAACCAATTAGGTTTTAAAATGAGAAAGTGATATGATATACTTTGCTTTTCTAATTAACATAAAATATTTCCAAGTCTCTTTTTTACAAGGTTACAATCACCCTACATCTTCACTAAGTAATACCATCTTACCTTTCTGTTCTGCTTCACAGTTTAGCTTCTTGAAAAGGTTCCAAAATCTCTTTTTAAATTTCCTCTTCTATTCACTTCTTAATTCTTGGATCTATTTCTGTCTCCAACACTCTAATGACACTGTTTTTTACCAAGCTCACATTGCCTCTTCCCTGACAAATCCAGTACACAGTTTTTAGCCCTCAATATGTTACCTCTCTTCCTGAAGTGCTCTCTTCTTTCTTTGGAATCCATACACAGCCTCCTAATTTTATCTCTGTTCCTCATTTTCTTTGCAAACTTCTTCCTCTGATGAACTCTTAGAAGAGTTTCACATAAAGCCCCTACATAAATCTCCAAGTATCTTCTAAGTATCTCCTCTTCTCTTTATTAACTTTCGGTAACTTAGCTAAGGTCATTATTAACTTTTGCCTAGATTAGTGCAATAGCCTCTAAAAACCGGTTTCAAGGGTATCTACTTCTTACTAAGATGGCACAGAGTAATTAGAGATACGCTGTTTCCTAAATAATCAAAACAACTGGACAAAATATGAGACAGCACTTTCAAGACATTGCACAACAGATAATAAAATGGGTCCCTGAGAGAGAAAAAACAAAAACAAAAACAAATGAGATTTCCCTATGATTGCCCCAGCCTTTTAGAGTTTTCAGGCTGTCGCTCATGGGTCCGGCATACTCCCTGAGTTCAGGAGGTAGAGCTGGGATTCCTGGAAGACCAAGGCAACTAGAAAGAGAGTTCCAGAGATCTGCAGATGGTAGCCCTTGAGTATGAGCAGAGTGGTGATTGGAGCAAGTACATGAGAAAACTACCCAAGTTAGGAAAAAAAGCACCTAAACAGAGAATATAAGAAATTAAATAGTGTCTATTCCTTCCAGCCAAACTGGAAAACCTCATCATTCCTTGTGTAGAGCACTAAGAAGCGTCTTATCTTCAAAATGGGGATAATTAGCATTAGACTAAACATGGCTGTGATCTTACCTCACAAATATAAAGATACGACATGAACGAGTCAAATTGAGCCCAAGTATTATAACTTAACTGTATTCCAGAATAAATCTCCAGAATAATTACAAAAATACAAAAATACCTAGCACCTAACAAGGTAAAATTCAGTATGTCTGACATCTAATTAAAAATAGTCAAACATGCAAAGAAACAGAAGAATATGACCTGTAACAAGGAAAAAAGGCAATCAATATGGACCCAATCAAATCCCAACATCTGAAACAGATGTTAGAATTAGTAAGTAAGGACATTAATGAAGTGTTTACAACTGTATTCCACATGACCAAAAAAGTTAGAGACATGGTAGATAGAAAAATAACTTCTTAAACTTCTGGAGGTGAAAACTACAGTATCTGAGATGAAAAGTACATTGAATAGGATTAATAGCAGATTGAGTATGGCAGAAAAAAAAGACTAGCATCTAGTAAAGAGCAATAGAAACTATTCACAGTGAAACACAAAAACAATCTAAAAAAATAAAATAAAAAGCATCACTGAGGTATGAGACAAGTGAAACTGGAGTCCCTAAAGAATAGAAGGAGGAGGAGGCACAGAAAAAATATTAGAAGAAATGATGGCTGAAAATGTTCCAACTGTGACAACCATAAACCCACAGATATAAGAAGCTCAACGAATCCCAAGGACAGGAAGCGTGAAGAAAACTACACCAAGGCACCTTACAATCACATTGCTCAAAACCAGTGATAAAGACAAATCATACGAGCAGTCAGAGAGTGTCCCCACCCAAATCTCATCTCGAATTATAATCCTGTGTCAAGGGAGGGAGGAGACTGGATCAGGGGGCTCTTCCAAGACTAATTTACAGTCTCTTATGTATTCCTGCAGTGGCTTATAATTATTCCTAGCATATTATTTATCAACTATAATTATCTCTTTACTTGCCTGCCTTTCCACTAGACCTTAAGGGGAAGGACTACATTTTAAACATTATTATATTCCCATATTTTAAGAGTGTATTGCATATGGTAGGTGCCCAACAAAGAGCTGCTGAATAAATAAAGTAAATGCTATCAAGTCTTTGGGCTTTTTTCCAATGCAAGAAAGAATTCTACAAAAATAGTCCATGAAAAAAATTACTTAAAATCAGACTTGCTGATGGTCAGACTTGCCCTTTTAGAATGTAAGCTCCACTAGAGCACATATGTTTCTGTTTTGTTGATATATCTCCAGTGCCTAGAACAATGTAAGGAAATATAGGTTCTCAGTAATTATCACTGAATAAATAAATCATTAAGTCAGATTTTCTCAATACTCTCACCGAATACCTAAGAGATGTTTCTGAGACACTACTCTGCTTCTCATCAAGAATTATTGGTAGAAACAGATTAATTTAGCATGGTATACAGAGTTAAAGTAATACAATTTAAATATGTATTATCAGTTCCCTCTCTTACACTGTATATTTTTGTAGTAAAAATCCTTGCTGTTAAGGCTGATTAGTTTTCTCTGTTCTTCACATTTCACTGTGAGAGGGAGGCATTTCTACTACCCCAAAAGGAAAATATATAGAATTATTTCAGTTTCTCTAGATTCTTCTAAATGTTCATTTTTTTTCCAGAGTGGTTAGTCTGCAAGTTTACATACATACTAGACCCAAATAGGATATTAATATACTTCTATACATACTTTCAGTTGCAGAGAAAGATGTATCAAGTGTTAACTCATCCAGAGGCATCACAAGTTGACCTCCAGGCTCCCACTTCTTGCGATCACAAAAAACTGATTTTTCTTTTTCATGCTCTTTGGCATCTTCATGAACAATTATCTCAACAGTATCAGAGGGATGCTGTTTTCCTCTTTCATCTTCTTGAGCTTTAAGATTTTCATTTAATCTACGAAGTATTTCTCGCTTATTCTGAAAGTTATAACATTATATATTTTAATAAGTATATTATTAAGTAAAATGATTGACAGATAAATTTTGAAAATTTTACTTACTGAAATAGCATTGTTGGTCTTTTGCATTTCTTCTGAAGTTTCCTGGGTATCAGTTAAACTACTGTCCTTTAAATGCAGATAGATACAGAGTAAGACATAATTTTATTTTTTTAAAACTACCTTTAAAAATATGATATCTTTGTTACTTTTTGCTTTTCACTAATTTGTTCCTTGTAAATTTTTTATACCTGTAAAATGTTAACACAGCTTCTTTCATTATCAGCAATGACTAACCTTTAAATATTATTAATTAGACAATATAAAGAGGGGCCAATTCTCAATTATTTGTCATATTTTTGGATTATTGTTCACATAATTAACTATATCCTCTTCCCCTCTGGCGCCTGATTTGCTGGTATAAGTCAGTGGTAGAAATGAAAGGAAAATTCATGTACTCTCTTAATCACAACTAGAAAAAGTTTTGATGGATAAGGCAATTAAAAATAGGCTGTATTATTCTAAAACTGTCTTTATGTTTCATGTGTATATATTCTTGTTAAGCCATAGTACCAAATGTAATTGAGAAGTGGCTTTCCTCCCTAAACAAAGAATGTAACAAAAATTAGTTCTGAGTCATTTGTACTATGAGTACTATAAGTATCTTCTAATTAGTACTGTCAAAGCAATCTAGACTCGACTACCTAAAATTTAAAAATATATGAAAAGAAGAAATTAGGAGTTATGTAAGCTATGAAAACAAAGGCATGTAGAAGATTCCAAGAGCAATTTTCAAAGTTTTAAGTGACATTTACCAATGCAACACAGAAAGAAAACCATTCAGTTATATGAATTACCTCAAATTTTGTAATACTTAAACAAAAATAAAAAATTTGGCAGTGAGTTTCAAAGTAATATAAGAAGCAATCAGACAAAGAACATTTTACCCAATAAAGCAGTCAGGAATTAGCAGTCCTACAACCAGAGAGGTGAACAGCTAGTTGAGATGTGAGACTGGGTACCACCCAGAAGGGAACCACACAGTGGTATCTAAAGTCAGAGTAACAACGTAGCACATGCAAAATCATTATCAGAAAGAACAGGTGACTAAACCTACTTGAAAAACAATAGTTTCTTACATGAAGTTCTTGAGAATGATCAAGAAACTTATATTTTCCTACTCAGCCTTATTTTCAAAATCAACCCAAAGGCTATAAAAAAAAAAACAAAACTAGTGTACCAATTTTGTCTGCAAATATTTACTGAAACTCAACAAATAAAAGGCACAGACATCCATTACCAGGAAAGGAGAAAATGAGGTTACTATATAATTCAGTAGACTTTTCTCCTTCTGTCTGTTGAATGCTAGGCAGCAGCTCTACACTATCAGCCCATTTTTCTTAACCCCTGAACAGTCTTCTCATTTCAGACAGATACCTGAAATATACTTCTAAGTTTAAACGTTTTATTTGTCTATATTTCTTTGTTTTACTATCTGTATGGCATGATAGAGATTCAGAAGTAGAAGGTAAAAGGAATAACTGATGAATTAACTGTAGTTATACTGAGTCTTCTAACATTTGCTATGTCACAAAATTTGAATAAATGTAAACATGTGTTGGATTAATTCCTGGAGCTACTTTAGTACCAAAGAGACTTTTTTTTTTTTAAGTGAATATTTGTTAATCCTGAGGGTTGGATAGAAAAATGTTTATATTATTATTTTCAGTACACTTCTATGTATATTTTTTTCAATATTCTTTTAAAGTAATTTTTAGAGTTATTTATAATGTATTTTCATCTACCAGATAGTCCTAGATATAAAACTTATAAACAATGAGGCTCCAATATTCTGAGCAAACTAAAATCCCTTAAAAAGTAATTTTTTCCCCTAGAAAAACCTGAAAGGGACATTAGGTATTAATGTGATTTCAGGAAATTTCATTTCCTTTTAAATAATTTTTGACTTTGAGTTCTGAATCTTAGGAAACTTACCACGCCAACTTCTTTCAAAGCTGAAGTCACAGAAATAACAGATCTCATCTGTTGCTTTGATGGAGAGCCACCTGTTTCATGTTGTCCCAAAGGTGGAGAAACATCAGAATCCTTTACTCCTTTAGCCACCAACTATAAAAAATAATTTTGTTAAATACATTAGGGATTTTTTATTTGCATGAAGAAATAATAATAGTACCTATCAGATCACTATTTATCCATTCTACCCACAAGTAGTTTTTTCATACCTGAATTATCTGTTGAGCAAGGCATTATGCTACATGCTGGGGACAGAGCAGTGACTACAGAAAAAAACCTCTGGTCTCAGATGTAAACATAATCACGTCACATAGTCCTAAATAACCCGCTTCCATTGCATTATCAATGTTTCATAAAACGATCCTGAAAAATGAACTGTCTTTTAAAGATTCAAGTGTGTGATTTTGTTAATCTTAAAATTCTAAAGGAAATGCTTCTGTAATTTCTACAGGTTTGCGTACAATCTTCTCTAAGTTCAAATACCAATTTCTCAACCTAAGAGCCCTCATAAAAATGCCAACATAAATGAGAATGGAAGGAGGAACAGATCCAGATAATAAGATTTACTTCACTGAAAATATCATGTTGTATTAACATATATGCATGTTTTTAATCTTGCCATTTAAATTCTAAACAAAGTTAAGATTCTGAACCCTTAATTAATACAAGGAAATGGCATTTATGGGGATGCTAAAAGTAACATGGCAGGAAGTCTACTCTTTACTCCCTATTTCTACTCTTCCTCAACCTAGGAAACAAGACTTCCTGGGGAGTATGCATTTCAAACACATTATTATGCAGTATCTTCTAAAAATAAAGTAATAACACAATCCTAACATCTAGGCTTCTAGACCTTCATTTTACACCAATACAGGTGTATCTCTGAGATATTGCGCACTTAGTTTCAGACCACTGCAATAATGGTAATATTGCAATAAAGTGAGTCACACAAATTTTGGGGTTTCTCAGTGCAAATAAAAATTATGTTTATACTATGCTTTAGCCTATTAAATGTGCAATAGCATTATGTCTAAAACACAATGTACACATCTTAATAAACACCTAATTCCTAAAAAATGCCAATGATTCTTCTGAGCCTTCAACAAATTGTAATCATTTTGCTAGTGGAGGGTCTTGCCTTGATACTGATGGCTGCTGATTGATCAGGGTGGTAACTGCTGGATGTTGGGGTAGCTGTGACAATTTCTTAAAATAAGACAAAAATGAAGTTTGCTGCATCCATTGACTCTTTCATGAAAATATTTTTATTTTGTAAAAATATTTTTAAAATTATTTATCATTTAAATAGAGATGGGGTCTCACTATATTGGCTAGACTAGTCTTGAACTCTTGGTCTCAATGATCATCTTACCTCAGCCTCCCAAAGTGCTGGGATTACAAGCGTGAGCCACTCTGCCCAGCCCGTGAAAATATTTATCTCCAGCATGCAGTGCTGTTGCATTTTACTCACAGTACAACTTCTCTCACTCTCAAACCCTGCCACTGCTTTACCAACTAAGTTCACAAAATATTCTAAATCCCTTGTCATTTTAACAATGTTCAAAATAGCTTCACCAGAAGTAGATTACACCTTAAGAAACCACTTTCTTTGCTCCTCCAGAAGAAGCAACTCCTTAGCCATTCAAGTTTATCATGGAGCTTGTAGCAATTCAGTCATATCTTTAGGCTTCACTTATCATTCTACTTCATTAGCTTTTTCTACAGTCACAGCTACAGTGACTTCCTCCACTGAAATCTTGAACCTCTCAAAGCCATCCATGATAGAGTCAACTTCTTCCTAACTCCTGTTCATGCTGACATTAACATTAACATGACATTACCGCCTTCCATGAATCACAAAAATTCTGAATGGAATCTAGAATGATGAATGATGAATACTTTTTAGAGGGCTTTCAATTTACTTTGCCCAGATCCACTAGAGGAATCATTATCTACGGCAGCTACAGTTTTAAAAAAATTTATTTCTTAAATAAGAATACTTGAAAGTCAAAATGCCTTCTTGATACATTGGCTGCAGAAGATGTGTTAGCAGGCATGAAAACAACATGAATCTCTGCATAATACATCTCCGTCAGAGTTCTTGGGTAACAAGGTGCACTGTCAGTGAGTAGTAATATTTTGAAATAATTTCTTTTTTTTCTGAGCAGTAGGACTCAATAGTGGGCTTGAAATGTTCACAGTAAACCATGTTGTAAACAGGTGTGCTGTCATCCAGGCTTTGTTTTTCCACTTACAGAGCACAAATAGATTTAGCATAATTCTTAAGGGTCCTAGGAGTTTCAGAATGGTAAATGAGCACTGGCTTCAACTTAAAGTCACCAACCGCATTAGCCCTCAACAAGAGTCAGCCTGTCTTTTTAAGCTCTGAAGCCAGGCACTGATTCTCTTAAGCTAGGAGAGTCCTAGATGGCATCTTCTTCCAATAGAAGGCAGTTTTATCTACTCTGAAAATCTGCTGTTGAGTGTTGCCACCTTTATCAATGATCTTAGTTACATCTCCTGGATAATGTACTGCAGCTTCTCAATCAGCATTTACTGCTTTACCTTGCACTTTTATGTTATGGAGGTGGCTTCTTTACTGAACCTTATGAACCAACCTCCGCTAGCCTTCAATTTTTCTTCTGTAGCTTCCTTACCTCTCCCAGTCTTCATGGAATTGAGACGAGTTAGGGCCTTGCTCTAGAGCAGGCTTTGGCATAGTGACTGCTGCGATCTTCTATCCATACCACTAAAACTTTCTCCATCCACAGCAAGAAGGCTTCCTTCCTTCCTCCTTCCTCCTTCCTTTCTTCCTCCCTCCCCTCCCCCGCCTCTCTCTCTTTTTCTCTTCCGTTATTATTTTTTTCTAAGAGATAGGGTCTTCCTCTGTTGCCTAGGCTGGAGTAGAGATCCAGGCACAATCACAGCTCACTGAAACCTTGAACTCCTAGGCTCAAGTGATCCTTCTGCCTTAGCTTCTCAATGTGGTTGGGAGTATAGGTGTGTGCCACCACATCCAGCTAATTTTTCTTTTCTTTCTTTCTTTCTTTTTTTTTAAGAAACAGGTTCTCACTTTGTCATCCATGCTAGTCTCAAACTTCTGGGCTCAAGCAATCCTCCTGCCTCAGTCTCCTGGATTGCTGAGACTGCAAGCTCCTGGCTGTTTCGCTTTTTTATTTAGTGTGTTCACTGGAGTAACACTTTTTTTTTTTCAAGATAGGGTCTTGCACTGTCACCTAGGCTGGTGTGCAATGGTGTGATCTCAGCTCACTGCAATCTCTGCCGTCCTGGTTCACACGATTCTCCGACCTTGGCCTCCCAAGTAGCTGGGATTGTAGGTGCACACCAACATACTTGGTTAATTTTTTGTATTTTTAGTAGAGACAGTGTTTCACTATGTTGGCCAGGCTGGTCTTAAACTCCTGACCTCGTGATCCACTGGACTTGGCCTCCCAAAGCACTGAGATTACAGACATGAGCCACTGCACCTGGCCTGGAGTAGTACTTCAGGAACTTTTCCTTTGCATTCACATCTTGGATAACTGGTGCAAGAGGCCTAATTCTGTGCCTGTCTCAGGTTTCAATATGCCTTCATCACCAAGATTAATCCTGATTTCAAGTGAGAGACGTGCAACTCATTCTTTCATTTGAATACTTAGAGGCCACTATAGGTCATTAAGTGGCCTAAGTTCCGTATTAGTTTGTCTTATGGAATATGAAGGTCTGAGGAGAGAGAGAGGGGAACTACCAGTCAATGAAGCAATCAGAACACACACATTCATCAATTAAATTCACCATCTTATATGGGTGCAGTCTGTGGTGCCTCAAAACAATGACAACAGTAATATCAAAGATATGATGATAATAATGAAAAAGTTTGAAATACTACAAAAATGGACACAAAGACACAAAATGAGCAAAAGCTGTTAGGAAAATGACACCGATAGACTTCCTTGATGAGGGTTGTCACAAAATTTCAATTTGTAAGAAATGCACTATTTGGGAACCACAATAACACAAGGTATGCCTGTATTTATTTTGTTCAAAAAAGAATAAAAACATTGCTTTAGTCCCACAGTGGAGCATTACTGAAAAAGTATATTGATGTTTAAGATGTTACTACAAATAACTTTTACAAATATCTAGAGCTCACGTAAGTCTTCTCTCACCTTGAAAGATTCTATCAAAATATTTTGAAACTTTGTTTTAATTACTATAGAATATAAATTCAAATAAGGTTTCATACATTGAGGGAATAAAAACAAGTTCCAAAGCTGTTCTGAATATTAGCTGTATTTTTAAAACAAAGATGCTATTTCTCTCGTTGATTATTTAAAAGAAATATAATTTGAATATACAAATTCTGCCATTTTAATTTAAATCTGTCATTACTTCTCTACCACATACTAGGATTACAGGCGTGTGTCACCATGCCCAGCTAATTTTTAGTAGAGATAGGGTTTCATCATGTTGGCCATGTTCATCTCCAACTCCTGACCTCATGATCCACCTGTCCGGGCCTCCCAGAGTGCTGGGATTACAGGCGTGAGCCACATCGCCTGGCCTGCTATTTCAATACATGAATCTGACATGATTTCTGTGAGAAGATGAATTGATAATATTTGATAAAAATTAATTTACTGATAAATGAAAATATGTATTAATACCTATTAAGTGTCAAGCAGAGTTCTGGATAATGATATCCAAAATGAATTACACATAATATTTTCTCAGAAGGGATTGTAAATTAGAAAAGAAAAAAGAACATATAAATCAATCAGTATGTTATAGAGGAAAAAAATAAAGAGATGTGTACTAAATCATCTGGGGAAGAATGAAACAAACAAAAAATATAGAAAGAACTAACTGTGTAAAGCCAAGAGGGGTGCCAGTGAGAACAGACTTTGCAGAGCAGCCAATGGTCAGCCATTCACTGTTCAAGTAGCCATAAAATACAGACGTAGGACAATTCTACATTCAAATCCCAAAACACTCACCAGTCCTGTGACTTTTTCATTATCTTTATCCTGTCTGAAACTCAGAGTTTTTCTCTAAAATAGAAATGCTGTACTCATTGCTTCTCTGCCTTAGGG